AAAAAAAAAAAAAAGTCCCAGACAAAAAAAGTATCACCAGGAAGGAAGAGGAAGGGACAGTTTCAAGAAACCAGGAAAGAATGAATCAGCTAAACTTAGGGACTAACTAGACAGACACTTATCTGGGGGACAGGAAAAGACTGAATCCAAGGCTGAGTAAAGTTGTTCTTAAGGTATAGGAAGAATGCATTCAGGGGCTAATAGGAGTACCTTTCTCTTGCCAAGCATACAGACTTCTGCTAATCAGCGAAGGGAACTGTCTGGATATCATGGCTTGCATATGGAATCTGGTAATGACTTTGGGCTGATGGAAATGACCAGACCCAGCACTCCCCTCCAAGGTGTAGGCTAGCCCCCCATCATTCCTACTTCTACCCAACTTCAAAGTACTGACCACCCTAAGGGTGTGTGGGTGGCTCAGTCAGTTAAGCATCTGACTCTTGATCTCAGCTCAGGTCTTGATCTTAGGGTCATGAGCTCAAGTCCCACATTGGGCTCCATGCTGGGCATGGAGCCTACTTAACAACAACAAAAAAAAGTGCTGACCACCACCCTACCCAGAACTAGTGTAGGACTCCCACTACCAACCGTACACCGTGTGGCACTTGGAAAAAAAGAGTGGCTCTTCTGCCAGGAGTATCAAGCAGCTGTAGCTGGACCAGACAAGCACTTCGCTGGAAGAGGAAAGGTGCTCAAAGAGGAACTCTGGCCGGGAGAGGGGAGAAAACAATAAATGACAGTCATGTGATCACAGTCCCCTCACTAAATCTAGGGCCTTGGATTTATTCAGCATCTAACACCTGTTACTTCATCTGTTCACACACTCTTTCCACGAGACATGATCATGAATTCACAGATAAACCTGAAAAATAACCTCAGGGTTTGATCTAACTTCATCTTTTTAACAGGTGAGGAAACTGAGACCCAGAAAGAGCTATTGTTAATGGTAGAGGTGGGACTGGAACTCAGGTCTCTTATTTTCCAGGATGGGTAACAGCATGATGCAGAGAGAAGATTTTAGAGCCAGAGAGGCTTGACTGCATACCCTTCTCTGCCAGTGACTAGCCTTGTAAATTTACACCAGTTGTTTCTCTTCTCTGATCCTCAATTTGCTTATCCATAAAACAGCCAAGTTGAGGACCTAAATGTGGCAACACTTACAGTGCACCTCAGGGCATATTTCCTGGTCATAACAAGCCCTTGAGAAACCTTAGTTCCCTTTGCCTTCCTGGTCCACAGGTCTTTCCATCACCCTACACTAGGTGTTATTCCTAGATGGTCAAGTAAATGACAAAGATCAGTAACAGGGCGCCTGGGTGGCTCAGTTGGTTAAGCGACTGCCTTCAGCTCAGGTCATGATCCCAGGGTCCTGGGATCGAGTCCCGCATCGGGCTCCCTGCTCGGCAGGAAGCCTGCTTCTCCCTCTCCCACTCCCCCTGCTTGTGTTCCCTCTCTCGCTGTGTCTCTCTCTGTCAAATAAATAAATAATCTTTAAAAAAAAAAAAAAAGATCAGTAACAGTTTGCTCAAGGTCATCTAAGAGATCTGTAGCAAGAGGATTCACTTTATGAGGCTTACTTCTTACAGTCTGTCCTGTACAGCTGAGCCTGCCATCAACCTGTCTCTCTAGTACACATTATCAGAGAACCCCAACAGGACAGCTGCTGCTACTGGGACTCCAGGGTCTCCAGTCAGAACTCTGGGGTCTTCAGAGGAGAAGATTAGAAGGAGTTCTCTACCTGGGATGTCGGCATGGATGAAGGCCGGGGCATGCTTCACTGGGGAGTGGACCAGCACTGCAGTTATACAGTGGGTACTGGCCACCTGCAGAGTCTCGTCTCTAGAGAGGAGAAGCTGGAGAAATAGGCAACAAGAAGTACTGCAGTCACAACACTGACGGAGGGCCTATCCAGCGTCAGGCACAAGGATGGTGCTCAGGGAGAGCAGTTATGGATTATGGAAAGGGGTTTCTATGAAGAACAGCAGGTGGGAAACAGAACAAAAGAACACAATGGCATCAAAGAACACTAAAACCGCCACCAAGAAAGGTTTGGGCCTTCATTGGCAAAAGTACTTTCACAGCCCTCATCTGGTTTTGATGCTTGCAACAAGCCTGAAGGATAACACGGGAAGGTTCTACTGTGAGTTTCACTTTACAGAATGTGCTGAAAAGAACTAACAATGCAGGCATGAGGCTGTTATCCTTAGAAAGGCCCATCTGTAAACTTGGTCAATGACTGGATTTGGGAAGTTGGATTTCAGGAGGGCTCCCACCACTCACAGAACCAATAAGAGTGACTCTCTGTGACCAAGTTATTTGTACAAACAATGTAGTCTATGCTGAATACCTGTCATCTTTCTGGGAGTTTGGAATTTTGGTATGTGCTAGGCAGAGGGTGCCAACGTGACCAGTCAGCCCCCAATAAAAATTTTGGGCACCAAGACTCTAATGAGCTTTCCTGCCAGGCACCATCTCACATGTGTTGCCACAATTCATTGCTGGAGGAATAAACTGCATCCTTGTCTGACTCCACTGGGAGAGGACTCAAAATCTTGTGCCTAGTTTTCCCCTGAACTTTACCCCATATGCGTTTTCCCTTTGCTGATTTTGCCTTGTATTCATTCACTGTAATAAATAATAGCCGTGAGTATGATTATCTATTGAGTCCTGTGAGTCCTCCTAGTGAATCATTGAACCTGGGGGTGGTCTTGGAGACTCCCAACATACAGAGGAAGGAATTAAAGCTCATGGAGGTTAAGTCACTTACTCCAGGCCACACAGCTAATAAGTGGCAAAGCTAAGGCAGAAACCCAGGTCAGCCATGTCCAAATCTAGGAGTCTTCCTACAGCAGAGATGCCTCCTCCACCAAAGTTTCAGATCAGGTTATTCCTCTACTCAAAACATTTTAATGAATTTCCATTGTACTCTGAATAACATCCAAACTCCTACTGGACACCATACCTATTAGGAGTCCCATGACACTTTCAGAAATCAAGGAAAAGGGAGGCACCTTGGTGGCTCAGTCACTTAAGCATGGTTTTGGCTCAAGTCATGATCTCGGGTCATGGGATCGAGCCCCACATTGGGCTCTGCGCTCAATGTAGAGTCTGCTTCAGATTGTCTCTCCCTCTCCTTCCCGGTTGCTTGCTCTCTAATAAATAAATAAAATCTTTTAAAAAAAATTATAACTTCTTTTAAAAAAAAATCAAGGAAAGGGTTAACTGCAGACAAGTGTAGGAGAAACTGGCCTCCTATGGGAAAATGGCAAGTAGAACATATATCATGAGACAAAAGAGAGTGTCTGGTTTTAGAGCTTCAGAGGAAAAGGACAAAGTCACACTCATATCTGGTAGAGACACATCTGAGGACTGCAAGCTTAAACGCATCAGTCATGTCAGACTTAAAAATGGACACATGATTGACCAGCCTTTCTGTTAGTTTGTAAAGGAGTTTCTAGATAGTCTTAATCTTTATTTTGTTCTCTTTTATATAGCAAATGACATGTATTTCAAGATGCTATTGATGTAAGGCAAATTATTATTTTATATGCCACTAAAAGAAAAAGAGCTATAATTAAACTATGACACACTATTGATGGTAAAGAGTCTCCCAATTTCAGAGCTGCTAAAATGTGAAATAGAATATATCTTAGAAAAATGATATTCAACTCTTATGCAAAACAATGATTCTTGGTTTAAAGTGTATATTCCTTATTGTGTGAGAAAGAAACACTCCAATCCTATTTTTCCATCATAAACAAAATTAACTATGAAAATTTATCTTTAAAAAAGTCCTAATTGGGGTACCTGGGTGGCTCCATCGATTAAGCATCTGCCTTCAGCTCAGGTCATAATCCCAGGGTCCTGGGATTGAGCTCCACATCGGGCTCCCTGCTCAGCAGAGAGCCTGCTTCTCCCTCTCTCGCTCCCCCTGCTTGTGCTCCCCACCCAGTCAAATAAATAAATAAAATCTTTTTAAAAATGTCTTAATTATTTACCATGACCCATCAGGACTTGCACAATTTTCCCTGCTTAATCTCTAGACTCATCTCTGGCCACTTCACATTCTACCCACCATCCATCCCACTGGCCTCCATCTGCTTCTGGAACATATCAAGCATCCCCCTTCCTCTAGCCTTTATTTGTTATTCTCTCTGCCTGAAATGCTTTTCTACCCATTCTTCATATCACTGGCTTACTTACTTATTTAATTAATTTATTTATTTACAGCTTCACTGAGGTATAATTGATCACTGGCTTACTTTAATTATTCAAGTATCAGCTCAATCATCAACCCTTCAAAGAGGCCCTGCCTGACCACCCAGCCTATAGCTGGCCTTCCTCACTATCTCATTTCCTCTTTATTTCCTTTGTAGCAAAACAAGAATTACTTTGCTTGTCCATTTACTTGTTCATAACCTGCCTTCCCCACTAGACCATGCAAGGGCAAGGAATTCATCTATTTACATACCATGATATTCCCAGTGCCTGATATACACAGTGACTGATATATTGCATTAGTGCTCAGTATGTATCTGATTAAATGAATGAATAAACACTGAAACAGCAGGGACACAAACATTGACAATATATTCCCAGGGACCTAAATTTTGGAAGAATAAGTTGATTATCAGCCAAAAGCGGGAAGGAATAGCATTAGAATCTGACAAAAATGCCAGAACAGAGGTAAAAGGATACATGTCAGTCTTCTCTTTATTTAAAATTTTGGTATTTTGTTCATTATGAATTTTGTGCACTGATTTTTTAAAAAATCAAATTGATTTTTTAAAAAAATATTGCATTAAAATACTATCTATCTTGATTGCTGAGTTTTTTAGCATCCCCTAAGTTTTGCACCTAAGGCAAGTGCCTCACTCATCTCACCGTAGCTGCAACCTTGCTGGTTAATGTAGTAAAATAATATGTTGATCATCCAAAATTGTCAAGAGAATAACAGCCTCCATATATGAACGGAGGATAGGACCCCTAAACCAAGATTCCTATCTCTGCAATGTCCTGTCCCCCAAGGGAAGTGCTCTCTAATCTCTGTCCCTGCCACCATTATGCTTCCTTGGCGCACTGTGAGGACACAAGACCTGTGCCCTGCTGAGCCTGAGATCAAATGTTCTAACTAGATGTTACCATGGACTCCAGGATGGCAGCAACAAAATGAGCACAGAAAAGAATTCAGTATGAGATTTTCTGGTTCAGAGACACAGGACTTGCTCTTCAGAGTTCACAGGCCCTGAATGGACCTTTTTAGAGGCATCCCAGGGAAACAAGGAGGAGCAGTTTAAGCTGGTTTTTAATATTTACCTTATCTATCTCCAATTGCCCTTTCCCACTTTTGATCAGGGCTCCTCCTCCTTCCTGCAGGAGTCCCACAGTCTAGTCGATCAATGATTATCTCCACTATCAGATGAGGATAAGTAGCTCTGCCAAGCCCTGTGCTGAGCACTGCAGAGAGGTATAGCCAAATTCAGGTACTGCCCTAAAGAAACTCCCAGTAGATCAACCACAATATGGTGAAGTAAGTGCTGTGACATAAGGTACATTCTACCTAAAGGAACCAAGAGGAAAAGGGAACCCTATAGGCCTTGAAGGATCAATAGACAAAGGAGAGGGGAAAGGCAAAGGGGAAGAGCATCTACACAGGCACAGAGACAGGATGTCCTAGCACATGCAAGGCCAGGGAGAAGTTACATATGGCTGGAGCACTGGGTTGTGGGGTGGAAGAGACAGGTTAATAAGGCTGAAGGGATAAGCAGGATCCAGAGAAAGAGGGCTCTAGGTACCAAGCTAAGAAGCTTGAGTTTTATCCCTAAAACAACCGAGATAGTTTTGCTTCTGTTGCTGCCTGCATTCTGCATTATCAGCCAGCCTAGATGTTAAGGAGAAGATATGCATATAAGGATTCACAACTGAAATAAAACCTACAGTTGACCCCTGAGCAATATGGGTTTGAACTGCACAGGCCCACTTACACATGGATTTTTTTTCAATAAATACAGTACAGTACTACAAATATTTTCTCCTCCTTATGAATTTCTTAATAACATTTTCTTTCTTCTTACTTTATTGTAAGAACAAAGTATATAATACATATAACATACAAAATATGTGTTAATTGATTGATTGTTATCAGTAAGGGTTCCGGTCAACAGCAGGCTATCAGTAGTTAAGTTTTGGGGGAGTTGAAAGTTATATGTGGATTTTCAACTGCATGGGGGGGGGTCAGTGCCCCAACCCCTGTGTTGTTTAAGGTTCAACTGTACTTTCAGTACTCTAACAGCATATCATTTGGGTCAGGAAGAAAACACCTTGAAAATCTTAGGTAGTAGTGATACAAGGGCCAGGAGCCATTCAGGTTCCCTTGTTATTGAACCTAGAGACCAGGAATCACAAGACAATCACCTTTTTGAGCACCAAAGGCAATGAGGTCTTTTCTGGTGGCCCCTCAACACCCTCAGTACTTTCCGCCATTGCAGACTTGTTCATGATCACGGACACAAAGAGATCATACTTCAGCAGCTGCCTCAGCAAACCTAGAAAACGAAAGGGGTAGGAGGTGAGGCAAGAGGAGTATAGGTACCAGAGTACACCCCAGGTAGCCCCTCAAACATCCTCTGGAAACTTCTTCATGTCTCCTTAAACATTCCTAAGTATTTTGTAGGGTTGTTTTTTTTTTTAAGATTTTATTTATTTGAGAGAGCATGAGCGGGGTGGTGGGGGCAGAGGGAGAGGGACAAGCAGACTCCCCACTGAGCAGAGCCTGTAGTGGGGCTCAATCCTAGGACCCCGAGATCATGACCTGAGCCAAAGTCAGACGCTTAACCTACTGAGCCAACCAGGTGCTCCAGTACTTTGTTATTTTTAATGCTGTTATAAATGGGATTGTTTTAATTTCTTTTTCAGATAATTCACTGTTAGTGCATAGAAAACAACTGATTTTATATCCTATAACTTTACTAAATTCATTTATTAGTTTTAACAGTTTTTTGTGACGTTCTTAAGGTTTTCTATATATAAAATGATGGCATCTGCAGAGACAGTTTTACTTCTTCCTTCCTAATTTTGATACCTTTTATTTCTTTTTCTTGCCTTATTGTTCTGGCGAGGACCTCTAACACAATGTTGAATAGAATCCCACACTTTTCTGTGCAACCTCCATGACAACACTTACTACACAGGGCTCTAATTGTCCACATCTGTTTTCCATACTAGACTATGAGCTCCTTCAGAATAGAGCTTGGGTTTGCTCATCTTTATGACCCCAGAGCCTGGCACAGGGCCTGGCCCAAAATGAACACACACTATGTGTGACTGGACTGTTCATAACAGAACTCTTGGCCTAAACTGTGAAAAGAAGCTGTTGTCACTTAGACTATGCTTTTCCCTGTTGCTCCTGCTTTGGAACAGGCCCTCACCCAGTCACCAATCATAGTGCCCATGTGCTCCATCCAAAATGTGAAAGCTCCCTACTCAGAAGCATTTGATAGATCTTGTGTACCTATGTAAAGAAGCAGCAGGAGAAGAGGCTGAAAGGGTACACTGGGGCTCCTAAGGAGCCTCAAATAACAAGTAGAAACACCTGCACATCACCCTGGAGGCCAGAGGGACGATAGATGATTTTTCAAATAGGAAAAGGAGAGAACACGAGCTGTGCAGTGTGAAGATTAACTTGACAGCAAAAACAGGATACACTAGGACAGGCAGTAAAAACCAGAGATAGAAAATTGTTGGTGCCACTTTCTTTCTTCTTTTCCTTCCAAAGGCAACATTCTTTTTCTTTTTAAATTCTACTTATGCATTTGAGAGAGAAAGTGTGAGGGAGAGAGAATGAGTGAGGGGGAGGGGCAGAACGAGAGGAAGAAGCAGACTCCCCATTGAGCAGGAAGCCAACATGGGGCCAATCCCAGGACCCTGAGATCATGACCTGAGCAGAAGGCAGATGGTTAATCAACTGAGTCACCCACGTGCCCAAAGGCAACATTCTTAAGATGCCACATCAACTCTAGTCATCTATCACAGTCTGTGCATTTTAGCTCCCAAACCCATGACTTCTACCCTTTGCAAAGCAGCAAACTTCCCCACCACTAAAGAGCCAACATCTCAAGTCCTCAAGCAAAACCTCAAAAGCTTTCTCTCTTTTCTCTCCAGTCCTACATCTTACCCAAACAGTTGATCTGTAGCTCCTTTGTCTGGGCACCATCCAGGGTGGAAAGGAAGAGAGGACACAGCTTCTCCCGGAAATGGCCTGAAAGCGTCTCAGCGGCCACTGGTGAGGAGTACAGCTTCCCATAGAGGTAACAGACAGAAGCTTGCACCCCCTCACTGGGGTACACTAAACCTCTCAACAGATGCTCCATCAGGTCACCTGTCCATAAAACAGCCAAGGAGCCAGGGAAACCTCACAATGTCAACTGCTGTATGAAACTCCACACTATTGTGCCCAGTAGGGTAGTAATGGTAATTCCCTATAATCCCCCATAATAAATGATTTCTGGGTACTTAATCAAAAGGAAAAACCAAGGCTTAGAGAAGTGCAGTGATTTACTCTGAGGTAAATACTCTGTGAGATATTTATTTGCATTTTACTGATAGAAAAAAGTACCTCTATATTCCAAAATTAATTCCTCCTTTCACCCAAAGGAAGGTTCAAAAGTAGGTATTTAATTAGTTTGTGTTAACATAAAGAATCAAAATAGCTCAAGACCAGAGTCAATAAATACTTTTTTCAACTTGGCCAACATAGAGTACATTTTGCAGATGAGAAAACTAAAACCTAGAGAAGTAATGACTTCCCAGGTGTATATACTGAATGGACCACCCAGATGGAAGTGTGATCGAAGCAGGTAAAAGGCTAGTGGCAGCTCTTTCCCAGAGGTCACTCACTGTGCTCCATTACAAGTTTGTCTGCCAGGGGAGGGATGGCATCCACCAACTTGCCGAGAAGGGTCAGGGTGGCCAGGCTGCCTCTCATGGAGGGCATGTTACACAGCTATAGAGAGAGAACACATTCCGCTCTGTTATTAGGATCAGGACAGATCTCCCACCAAAACGTAACTTGCTCTATCCAGACCAAAGCCTATTTTGTATGTGTCTCTCAACACAATCAGTAATCAGCCTCTTTAACTAAGTGTCTATCTCCCCTATTGGACTGGGAAGACCCTGGGGAAAAGCTCTGATTAGATTCCTCTCAGAGTGCTCAGTACCTAGCTCAGGACATGACTGTTAAACTGAATTAAAATTAGCATATTGTGTCTTCTATAGAGCCAGAAACTGGGGGGTGAAAGTTGGGAACATCATAAAGACAGAATTCTGGATCAGTACAAAAAAAAAAAAAAAAGGTATTATTATTATTATCATTATCATAGCCATTATTGAATACTATTTGCCAGGCCCTATGCTTGATGGTTTACAGGGAGAGTCGGTAGTATATATTTCCCTTCTCTAGCAACTAACTACAGCATCTTAAGCAAGACTCTTAATTCCTCTGGTGGGAAATAATAATAGTATCAACCTCATAGGGTTGTTAGGACTAAATGAGATACTGCACGTAAACCACCTAACACAGTGCCTAGCATTTGAAAGTACTCAAAAGGGTTAAGTGGCACCATCATAATGATAAGTATTGATACATATAATTATAAATTCAAGCTGATATATTAATCATATGCAGAGTAATTATAATGAAATGATAACTTAGTATAATTTATAATTACATGTTGCTCTTGGTGTTAAGATAAACATCTGTCTTCCTTTTGCAAAAAATAAAAAGTGATTCTGATATTATTCTTAAATCTTAAACACAATGTAAAAGCTACTTATTGAATTGGTATCTTTGACTACCTTGAAGAAGGCAGGTTAAATATACCTACTCAGTGCCTGCCTTAGATGCTTAGATAAAAGCAAATGACTTCAGTATAAAATACTGTATACAATCTAAACCAAATAAAAAGACCAAGCCAAGACATAGTAAAACATATTTCCTTGATAAATTGATCAAGAAAATCCATGTTGTACTTAGAAGGACATAGAGAATAACCATGGGATGATTCTGTCAGAAAGATGGGACTCCACCACACCGAGATAGCATTTGGAAGGTTGAAAGGGGAAGGAGGGAGGCTGCAAACAGTAGTGGAGCAGGATCAGAAGACCCAAGCCTTGGCTCTGGCTCTGCCACTGACTCAGTGGCCTCACGCAGGTCCCTTTCTCTCTGTATTTCAATCTCCCCATCTATCTATCCAAAGAAGGGTGGGCCCAGCTCTGATATCTGAAGATTCTGAGGGGTACTTAAGAACCCACATCTATTTACTGACCTCTTTGTGGCACTCATCCAGCAGGCAATGTATGATGTGCTCTAACTTCAGCTGAGTTGTAAGCTGGATGAGGACTAAGCAGACACAGTAGCATTACTAACCAGAAGTCAACCCCTGGCCCACACTTCACCTTTCATAGCCCTTCTACTCAAAGTCATTTGCTTGTGTTACCAGTATAGTCTTTTCTATCTCCCCAATTAAACTGTGTGTACATATCCAAACCAAAGGATTTCTGGCTTCTTCATTGTTTTATATCAGTGGTTCACAGTGAGGCTGCACATTAGAATCACCTAGGAAGTTAAAAAAATATATTAATGCCCAACTCCCACTCTAGACCAATTAAATCAGAATCTCTAGAGAAAGAGCCTAAGCATTTGGATATTTTTTAAGTTACCCAGGTAAGTCTATTGTGAAGCTAAGGTTGAAAACTACTATTTTATATTATCTCTACTTTTTTCCTCCTCACAATTTGCTCCTTCATATACTAGAAAACAGAATTATGGGTGAGTTCCCATGCCAATAATTGCCTACAATATTATCTTTCAACCCCAAACCCGTCCTTCTATACAGTCATTTGTGATGTTTCTGCTAGTATGTTTGAGGAGCGGTGAAGAAGAGGCTGGCTCTGCAAGTCTGGGAAAAGCTACAAATTAGATTTAGCAGCTGCTGCAGAAAGGCTCTGCCACTTCCAAGGTAAGGAAGCATTCTAGGATAATAGAAACAGGAAGAAGGCAGGCAGCAAACAGGAAACAATGAGGAAGGAGCAAGTCCTTCTTCTCTCTCTGGCTTTGCAGTCTCTATCTAGAGCCTACTGCCTCCATAAAGTTCCTGGGGTCTGATGAAGATTTGCAAGTTATGCTGGCACCAACCAGAAGTGGATGGCTTTAGGATTATAGCCCCACTCAAGAGTGGCTGAATGGTGAAGGGAAATCTCCCCATTCCTGCCAGTGGTCAGAACTTCAAGTGGTATATTTGTTTGTCCACATTATCTAGACCGAGAGATGGTCAGAGGGATATACAGATCCTATTTTTTTTTTCAGATTTTATTTATTTGAGAGAGAGAATGAGAGACAGAGAGCACGAGAGGGAAGAGAGTCAGAGGGAGAAGCAGACCCCCCGCTGAGCAGGGAGCCCGATATGGGACTCGATCCCAGGACTTCAGGATCATAACCTGAGCCGAAGGCAGTCGCTTAACCAACTGAGCCACCCAGGCGCCCTATACAGATCCTATTAACTTATGATCTGTTACAGCTGCTAACTGCATGCCTAGATGGTCATGGACCCAGGAACAGTCAAGCAGCATCCTCTCCACAGAGAAAACTTATGTTTTAATAATTCCAACCTCCTTTTGTTTCCCCAGCTCTAAGGGTGGAAGCTGCTTTCTGAAATTGCTACCTCTGTGAAAACTTGGTGTCTCTTTTTGCCTTCAGTTACCCAGTTAATAATTCTTTATATTAAAATTTTCCCTGTTTAAATAACTTGTGTGGTTTCTGTTTCCTGACTAGACCATAACTGATACAATTACTCTTTCTGCAAGAATCTTCCTATCCCAACTCCCTTGTCTTCTTTCCCCTTGAGCCCTTTAAAGTTTATTTATTTTAGTAATTTCTACACCCAACATGAAGCTAGAACTCACAACCCCAAGATCAAGAGTCATAATGCTCTTCTGACTGAGCCAGCCAGGCACCCTTCCCACATTTCCTCAGCTTTTACCATCACCTATGTGCAGACAACTTCCAACCAACCAATGTGGATGGAATGAAAACAGACTTTGTACATGTCTTTCTAACAGTATTCATCAGCTCTCATTATTTGCCAGCCAAACTCTCCTCCAGATTGTAAACTCTTAGAGGGCAGGAACCATGTCTTACCCATCTATATATCCCTAGTATCTGATACAGTACTTGGCACAGAGTAGGTGCCTGAGAAAGAAGTGCAGACTTAGTGACTGACAACTGAGTTTTCTTGATATGTCTCTAAAATAAAACATTTATTTCATCAAGATCTCAAATAACCAGAGCTGCAATTCAGGCTAATATCCTCAGCTTCAAATGCTAGGTACACACAATTTCACCTTACCTTCAATACAGAGGTCTGTTACACTCCCACCTTCCACATTGCATAACAGCCCTTGGAGCCGAGGGAGAAGAGAGGGGGATGGTTAATAGTTAAAAGAGAAACAAAACCACAAAGGTACACTATAAATTCTAGACTAATAGCAGCTTTAAGCAATGTCCCAGATAAATGCTATCCTCGACACCAAACACCTAGACTTTCAGTGACCCACTCTGGCTTTAAAAGGATAAAAACAGTCAGTGTGGCACAGCATAAAAACTGAGTGCTCTGGAGTCTGTAATAGACCTGGGGTAAAATTCCAGTTCTGCCAGTTATTAACCATGACTTCCCTTAGCCTTGGGGACCATTTTCTCTCCCTTAAAGAACTGTCTTGGCAGTTAAAAGCCTGAAAAGCCTCTAGCAGAGAAAAGTACCCAATATGAGTTAGCTCCCCTCCTCCCTGAAAGGGCTCTTTCCATAGGACGTTATAATTATATTAAAAGAAGGGACCTTTTAATCCATCTCAGGCACAGAAGAGGGAAAGTAATTCAATCAGGGTCACACCAGGTCAATGGAGTCTAGTCTGGACCTTCTGATCCTATTCAAGGGTCAGAGTGGACTTTTTGAAAGATCACACATTTCCCATATTCATATTCACACTTTTACTAACCTCTTAGCTGTAGCAAAGCCAGTTACCACCCAGTGCATCATGTGTCTTAGAAAGGGGATCATTTCTTCATCATATGACAAAACAATTTACTAATAAACTGTTACATGGCAAAAAACCTAAATTGTCTTCCCAAGACCATTTCTCCAAACCCAAAAACAAATATACATGCTATACATACAAAATTCATGCCAAGTTTCCCTTTTAATCTCACCGAAAAGCATGCTTACGAAGTGGATACAGATTCTCTGATCCTGAGCCACCAACTGCATGACCAGGGAGGCATGCCTCAAGAGAGCATCTCGGAAGCAGGACAGCACGTGCTTCTTGCGCACCAACTTGGGGCAGATGAAAAAAACATTCCGTAACAACCAAGTCTCAGCCATTCTGAACCCAAACAATTATAATTTCTAAATATATTTGCAAGATGATACTGGAGGGTTTACCTAAGCTAGAGTAAGATCATATATCCCTAAAGGGAGCATGAAAAAGGGCATCATTTACACAAAGGAATCCATGTGTTCATACAGAGGATTATACATGAGCTAAGGTTCCCACTACCCTATATTTACAGAGCACTTTACTATTCACAAATCACTCTTTTGTCTACTAGTTCATTTAAGCCTAGCAAATTGGTGAAGCAAGCAAAAATAGGTATTATTGTCACCATTTTATAGTTGAGAAAACAGAAGCCCAGAGACATTCCCAAGGACTCAAATCTGTCTCCAACCAGGTCGTGTCCAAGGTCAGTGCCCTTTCCACTTCAAAAGTCCAGGAGAGTGATTCTGGAGACCCTGCATGAGCCTCAAAGAGGTCGGTAGAGAAAGTCATCCTTCCATTCGACATGGACATAAATCCTCACACTCAGTTCACCTCCCTGTACAGGGAACTGGGTAGTGGCTGTGTAAAGTGCTCAAGACAGTAGCAAAAGTTAGGTAAAGAAAGGGCGTACGCACTGAGGATAGAACAGGAACATGGGTACAACTAACTACATCCCCCCCCTTTTTTTTTTTTAAAGATTTTATTTATTTGACAGAGAGAGACACAGCGAGAGAGGGAACACAAGCAGGGGGAGTGGGAGAGGGAGAAGCAGGCTTCCCGCAGAGCAGGGAGCCCGATGCGGGGCTCGATCCCAGGACCTTGGGATGATGACCTGAGCCGAAGGCAGACGCTTAACGACTGAGCCACCCAGGTGCCCCTACATCCCCCTTTCAATTGGTGAGAGCTGAAGCTAAAAAAAAAGTGCATTCAATAAAGAGTAAAGGTGCATTTCGCTGCCTCTAACCTGTGCTATTGCAAATCTCATGTATTCCTTCACCCGTTCCTCCTACATAATACATTAAGCTAGTGATTAAATAAGTTACTCAAAAAAACTCGATGACTCTCTTTTACCTATGGGATTAAGTCAAAACTCTAGCTTGATTCAAACTCTTGGAGGAACTCATCTTAACCTGGCTTTTCAATCTCACTTCCCTCAACTTCCTTTCAAACACTCTGATTACCTCCCCAAACTCATCCTTGCTAATACCTACCTCTTGGGATAAGCTCCCCCATCTCCTCTGGTCCAAATCTCACTCATCTTCTCAAGCCTAATTCAAATGGTTCCTCCTCTAAAAAACCTTTTCCCAATTTCCCTCATCCCAACAGCACTTGACCGCAAATATATCTATCTACTAAATTCCCAGTAACTTTTAGCCTTCTCATCTTCTCCTCCATGTAACCGTCTTATTTATCTCTTTATCTCTGACTCATTATCCAGGAATGGCAGCCTCAGAACTTCTGGCCTCAATGAAATCTCAAATATCAGCTAGCCAGCAGTTCTCAGAGGGTAGCCTGGGAACCCCAGAGGGTGCCCAAAACCCTTACAGATAATCCAAAAGATCAAAATTATTTTCATATAATACTAAGATGCAATTTGTTCTTTTCACTCTTATTCTCTCACAAGCGTACAGTGAAATCTTTCAAAGATTACATGACAAGTAATATACAACAGATTAAACGCAGAAATATATGAGAACCCAGCTATCTTCTCTTAAGCTAGACATTAAAGAGACTTGCAAAAATGTAAGACAAAACCATTCCTTTCACTATCTTTTTTGTTTTGGAAAATATTATTTTTACTTAAATTATTTATGCCACAGAACTGTACACTTAAAATGGTAGATTTTATGTCATGTGTATTTTGCCACAATAAAACCAATTATGCTAATGCGTAATGGACCTATTATTTTTAAATTAGTATTTTAAAATTGTTTTTACTTCTAATACAGTAAATATCAGTGGATATAACCCACATAAATAAAAGCTCTTTGGGGTCCTCAACACATTTTAGAAGTGTAAAGGCAACCTGAGAATAAAAAAAAAGACAACTTGAGAACCACTGATCTAGCCCACCCCCTTCCCTCCAAGGCATGAATTCCCCTCTCATGAATTTGAGAGAAAAGTGATCCCTCAAACTTTTCTTGGATGCCTCCATGGACAAAAAACACTACAGAGGTGGGTAGGCAGTGAGGGAAAAGGCAGCCCATTTTTCAGCCAGCTCTGCTTGTTAGAAAGGTTTTCCCACTCTGCCTGGTTGTACCTTCTGCCTGTCACCCCTGCCATCACAGAGACCGAGGCAGCCCCCTCCGACACATTTACACCCTAAGAAATCTGAAGGGAATGAGGAGCCTCCACCGCGCGTGCCCTGGCCCGTGCGCCAAGCCAAGGCTAAATCCTGGAGAGATGGCGAGGGCAACAAACGGCAGGGCAGCTACAAAGAAGGGAAGGGAAGGCAGGCATGCGTGCCGGCGAGTCCTGGGGCGGGGGCGGTTAGTGCGGACAGGAACAGGTCCAGGTGAGGCCCAGAGCCAGGCGCAGGGGTGAGTCTGGAAAAGGGTACTCTGCTCAGAGCAGGACGGCCTGTGGGGCAAACTGAGGCTGAAGTAGTATAGCAGAGAAGGCCGCTCCAGCCTGGTGAGGGAGCAGGCCTGTTTAGAGGGTAGATTTAACGAAGCGGCCCGGTTTGGGGAAGGCGCGTCCGGTTTGAGGGAGTTGGTCTGGCGAGGGAAGGCCCAGCTTGGTGAGGGAAATGCCGGGGCCCCGTTCGCACCGATACGCAGGGCTCCGGCAGCAGCTCCAGCAGGCAGGCCAGACAGAGGCGTGGGGGCACGGGCAGTAGCCAGCATGGGTCATGCCTGTAATGGGCCCTCTCGAAGAACAGCGCCGTCTCCTCGTCCCTCCCAGGCCCGAGAGGGCCTGCCGCCGCGTCCCTCACAGCCATGTCTCCCCGCGCATGTACTGCACCACCTTTCCCCGCGCAGCGTGTGCGCAAGCGCACTTGAAAGAGCGCCCTTCCGCCGCGCGCCTAAGGGAAAAGTGGGGAGGGGGTAACGCGCCTGCGCAAACCGAGAGCTACGCAATGTCGTGGGAGCCGACGCCGTTGAGAGCGTGTGATAGGTGCGAGGACTCGCGAGTGACCCGCGAAGGACAAAGCAGTTTGCTCTTTGAGTCCGTAGGAGTTTGCCTTCACCACACTATAGGTTGAAAAATATTTATAAACAAGCTATCATTAGCCTTGAGAAAGGAAGGGAAGGAAGTAATCTTTTTATTTATTTTTTTAATTTTATTTATTTTTTAAGATTTTTATTTATTTTTTGACAGAGACAGCAAGAGAAGGAACACAAGCAGGGGGAGTGGGAGAGGGAGAAGCAGGCTTCCCGCTGAGCAGGGAGCCCGATGGGATGCTCCATCCCGGGAACCTGGGATTATGATCTGAGCTGAAGGCAGACGCTTAACGACTGAGCCACCCAGGCGCCCTGGAAGTAATCTCTTTCTACCATTAAAAAATTAAATGATTTTGGGGCGCCTGGGTGGCTCAGTCGTTAAGCGTCTGCCTTCGGCTCAGGTCATGATCCCAGAGTCCTGGGATCGAGCCCCGCATCGGGTTCCCTGCTCCGTGGGAAGCCTGTTTCTCCCTCTCCCACCCCCCCTGCTTGTGTTCTCTCTCTCACTGTCTCTCTCTGTCAAATAAATAAATAAAATCTTTTAAAGAAAATTAAATGATTTCAGGGACCTAAAAGCTTAGTATTATTTTAAATTTACGTGACCCCTTTCTCTCAGAGTCTAAGACGTTTCCCTTAAGATACCCTCTCAAACGACTGCACGGCACTTGAGACTTTGCGAGGGTGCAAGGAATACTGCAGAAGAAAAAATCGTTTATCGTTGCATATAATTGAAATAGTCTACAGTCTATCAGTCTACAAGGATTTATTTAGCACCTGAGTGTCCAGCAACTGGCTAATGGTGAAGGAGGTAAGTTCAGGAGGTGTTTCCTACATTGAGAAGCAATGTGACTGAGTGGAAAAAAATTATTTCCGTACAAAATAGTTTAGAAAACAATGGTTTATTGTTCAATGCAGCATTATGAAATAATGTTTGAGAGAAGTAGGTATTAACATGGACAAGTTCTCGTTAAAATTCTGTGCACAAAAGATGCAGAATTATATATAAAGGAAGTAAAATCAATAAGCAAAAAACGTTTAGTCAACATAAGTACGTTATAGCAATAGTGCATATTCAATGAAGACAATGAAAGGAAAAATATTTTGATATATTTTCTTTTAGTCTATAAATTTTTACAACAGTAACATACAAAAGTTTGTAAACTGCTTCTCCCAGAGAAAAATATATCATGTACATCTTCCATATCATTAAATATTATCCTGTATGTTTTTAAAATGTCAACAAAGTATGTATTCCTTTTGACAAAGTTTTGAGCCAGAAACTGTGCTAGGAGCTAGAGGATTCAAGAGTGAGCAAGAGACCATTCTTGTCCTCAAGGTCAGTCAAGGAGACAAATGAGCAAATTATTGCAATAGAGTGTTATCTGTTGCTGTGTAACAAATGACCCCATGTGATGGGTTGAACGGTGAACTTCAGAAAATATATCTCCACGTCTGCTATGGACTGAATTTTGTCCCCCAAATTCAAATGTTGAAACCCTAACCCTTAATGTGACTGTGTTTGGAGATAGGGCCTTTAAGAGGTATTTAAAGTTAAAAGAGGTCATAAGGGTGGGGCTCTAATCCCATAGGATTGGTGGCCTTATAAGAAGAGGGAGGGGGAACCTCGCTGGCTCTTTAGAGCATGTGACTTTTGGTCCCAGGGCTGTGAGTTCGAGCCCCTCGTTGGGTGTAGAGATTACTTAAAAAAAAAAAATACTTTTGAGAAAAAGAGGGAGAGAGAAAGCTCTCTCACCTCTCTCCATATACATGTACCAAGGAAAGGCCATGTGAGAATGCAGTGAGAAAACAACCATCTGCAAGCCAGGAAGAAAGTTCTTACCAGAAACGGAATCAACCAGAATCTTGATCTTGGACTCTAGCCTCCAGAACTGTGAGAAAATAAATTTCTGTTGTTTAAGCCACTAGTCTCTAGTATTTTGTTATAGCAGTCAGAGCAGACTTATAAAACATCCCAATCCCCAGAATTTGTAAATGTTACCTTATTTGGAAAAGGATCTTTGCAGTTGTGATTAAGTTAAGGATCTTTAGAGATCATCCTGGAGTATACAGTGGGCCCTAAATCCAATAAGATTTAGACACACAGACACACAGAGTAAAAGGAAGAGGCAGTGTGACCATGGAGACAGCGAGTGGAGTGGTGGTGCCACAAGCCAACCAACACCTGCAACCACCAGAAGCTGGAAAGAACCAGGAACTTATTGCCCTCTAGAGCCTTTGGAGGGCCTTCTGACATCTTGATTTCAGACTTCTGGCCTCCAGAAGTTGTTTTTGGCCATCACGTTTGTGGTGACTTGTTATGGTAGCCATAGAAAACTAATATGCCCCCAAAACTTAGCAACTTAAAACAAGAAATATGGATTCCTGATGCACAGCTTAGTTAAAAGTCTCTCACAAGGTTGTAGCTATCTCAAGACTCACTAGGGCTGAAGGATCTGCTTCTAAGCTCGCTCACATGATTGGTGGCAGGATTCAGCTCTTCAAAGGCTAAGTGAGAACCTCACTTTCTTGACAACTGTTTTCAAGTGATCTCCTCAGTTCCTTGCCATATGTGCCTTTCCATAGGGCAGTTCACAACATGGAGGATGGCTTCCCTCAGGAAGCAAGCAAGGAAGCAAGAGAAATGCCCAAGATGGAGCTACAGACTTTATAACCTATTCTCAGGAGTTACATTCCATCATGTCTGCTGTATCCTGTCAGAAGTGAGCCACTAGATCCAATCCACACTCAAGGAGAGACTATACAAGGGCAAGGATACTGGGAGGTAGGGAGCATTGGGAGCTTTCCTATCATAGTATAAATGCTGTTGTAAAGGTAAGCATGAATTGCTATGGGAAACACCATGCAGGTAGCAATGCATAGCAAGAAAAACATCAAAACAATAACTGGGTAATAAGATTATGGATTATTTTTCCTTTTCTGAATTTTATAAACTTTCTTCAATGAGCATGGATGGGTTTTACAGTCAATTAATAGGAAATCTAAATGAAAGGGAAGAAAAGAAGGGAGAAAGGAGAGGAGGAAGGGAAAATAAAGAAGAGGGAGGGAGAAAACCTGAATTAAATTCCCAACTCCAGCACTCATGGATTTAGGCTCTGTGAATCTACTTCCACATGCTGAAGCTGCCTACAGAAGTATCATAAGACATAATGCCTTTTGGCTCAGAAGTTTCAGGCTTAATTAAAACAAATAATTGACTCCAGGATGTCCCACTGGTGAGACAGACAAGGCAACAAGTAATTATGGTTGACAGAGCTTGAGAAGTGGAGGCGGGGGATGGTTTTTCCATGAAGTATGTTCATGGGCAACAGAGTTCCAGCTGGGGGAATGCCCGGTAATCAGTTCCCTTCCTTGTGACCAAAAGACTTGAATATCAGTGTCCAGTGCAGAGCACCAACCCCCTCCGAAAAGTTGAGGCTCAGTTTGAGCATCCTACCTCAATCAGAATTAGCTTGGACCAGAGCAGGACAGAGCCATGATTGAAACCTCAGTAAACTCTACTGTGAGGAGCTAGGGAAAGGAATGTATTTAGGAGATGATGACATTGGGTTGACCCACATTCCCAAAACCTTCAATACCATAGAGTAGAATGGCTTCTACCCCACCCACAAAGTATCCCAACCTCCAAAAGGGGACACTCAGAAAATATGTGCCAGAAATATGAGAACCCCACAGGGCCCAAATAACCAATTTTATTAGAAGCTTTGAGGGTAAACAGACCACTCATGCCTTCTCTTATGTGTTCTGAGGACCCTGGGCCGGTGGCCTACTTTCTAAAGCCATGCTGGAGCAGAAAACATCTCAAATGCTTCATAAAACCAAACTTTTGGGGGGCTGATGGATTCTGTAGGACTCCATGTAGGTTCTCAGGTTCCCCTTGACCCTGGAAGCGCTCTGTCTTGAGAAGAGCAGCCTCAGCACAGCAGTGACCTGGTGCCTGAAGGTCTCTCTTCAGAGAAATAGAGACTCCAATGCTATCCTCCCTTGTATGTTGGTCATCTACTTTGGGAAGCAGAGTAGGATCAGGATCCCTCAGGCTCAGGTTGGGGGCTGAGTGCTGAGGCTTGGCCAGGTGTTGGGACCAAGATACCTTGTTTAGAAGGGTCATGCTCAACCTTGCTGCAGCAGAGTGGAGACTATCTTTGAAGCTGGAGGTGTTTGTGAAACAGGAGGAAGGCTGCTGCCCAGCTCCTCTGCCCTCTGCAGCCTCCAGGCTTCCTCTTCTCCCATGTGTAGCCTGCTGACATTTAAGTCTGGGGGGCTTAGGGACCTCCTGGGATGTGCGCTCCTTCCTCCAGTAGTCATGGCCTGCCCTGGAGTATGAGGTCCTCATTCTGCAGGGAGCCATCTCTGTCATCTGGGAGACTCCTGACCTGACTATTTTCCTGTCCATGCTGTTCTCACTGGAAGGCTCTTGGCCACACCAGCTCTTAGACTGTGCTGCAGGCCTGGAGTTCCTGGGAGCAGCAACAGCCTTGGCTCTAGGAGGAGCCTCTGCCTGAACGTCCCGTGGTTCTCTGGTGCCTCCTGGTGGCCTGACTCTCCCAGGCTTTTCAGAATGGATGGAGATGCCCATGGGTTCACACCCATGTGACCCACATTTCTCTAGAGCTCTGGCCCGTGTAGGAAGTTCTGAGCTTTTTCTTTCTAGGGGCTGAACTCTCTGTGATCTCTCAGTTGACTTAAGGCCTGGCCTGAAGCCCTGGGCCTCACAATGCCTTTCCTGCTGTCGTTGGAGCTCATAGGCTGTGTATAATCC